CTAACAATAGGATAGTATATAGAGTGTGGGGTTTTGAAAAAATTTATTCAGAAATGTAGAAATTAATTTGTAAAATTTTATATACGTAATTTTGAATTATACGACGGAATATATTACTTTTATCTCATGAATTCTATGATTGAATCCGAAAACTTGAAGTATAATCATGAATATATTCCCATTTGGCATTGACCTGCCTTAACAAGACATCATTGAATTAGAGGCTGATCAATAAGTGGCTGGGGAGGCTTTATATATTCCCACCAGCCATTCTTACTGCACTTTAAAGGAGCTTTTAATTCAATCAAATCAGAGTCTAACTCACTAGGTACTAATCTTTAATGTAGTATTAAACAATGGCATTAGCCATGTCCCCTGAAAAAGGAAAAGAAAGAAAAGGGGTGAAACAAGGGCTGGTCCATAGGGATAGGATGAAGAAAAGAAAGGAAAGGATTTGGATTACTCCCAGTACCAAACACTACCTTTAAGTTGACGACAAAGCTCAGAATAGCAGTAGCTAACCTAGGCCAGTTGGCCTGGAACAGCTACATTTTCCTATGAATTTGTCCGTTTGATGATACCTATCCAACAATTTTTCCAATTCGCCCTTTGCATACGTTTTAGTTTTCTTACCGTTTGGCGACATTAATGCCCCGTTCTCTGGGTTACCTTTTGTCCAAATTTGGGCACCAAAACTCTGCCATCGTGGTCTAGTCCACACCTTCAACGCCCCCCAACTTGCTTGATCTTTCACAACTGTTTGATTTATCCAACTATACTAATTTGTCTTTGCAAATGACATGTGCTAAACCTGTGTCTTGTTATGATCTGATCCACATATCCTCAGTTCCCTTTTATTTTTTGGCTAAGGATGTCTAATCTCTTCCATTACCCTAGAATTGTTTCCACAAAGGTTTGAAAGTTCATATTCGTCAGGGACCCCATGTTGTGGATACAATGAATGCAGACAAAAGATAAGTCATGGTTCTGCGTTTTTTCCTGGAAATATACAAGCAATTCTTGGCGTGACAGTTTTACAGGTTAGAGATGATACGAACGACTGTGAATGGATAATACAATCACACTGTCCCCTGTAGTTTCAGACAGCAATCCAAGCACATATGATCGATACTTGTCTGATACAGCAATCCAAGCACCAGTTGCATATGGGGTTCCCCGTATCTAAACGAAAATATAGTTCCAGATCACCTGGATAAGGCCTTCAATGGTTGTTATTATTGCACGTTACTGATTACATGGAATGGGAAACTGTCGTAGCCAGCTACGCATATCAACTTTACAAGGAGCTAGACTAGTACTAGACGAACTCACTTTCATCAAAAGTAAAATCACTTTGAAACTCTACAGGCTTAATCTCTAAGTCCATATAGTCGAAACCGCTCAGACCTGTTATATCTTTCCACACGATGGGGTCCCAGTCTGTCAGATCGCTTGCTGTCGTCTCTTCCTTGGATTCTTGCTTCACGGTTGGGTTTGTGGGAGATGGGTTCAAGCAGTGGTGATGACGGTGATGATGGTGCTGTTGTTTGCTTGAGATTTTGGAGTCACCCGATGTGACCATATTGTAAGATTTCCAAGGTTCAGAATGATCTGTGATGATTTGGGGAGCCTTGGATGAGTCTCTGCAGGTGTGGTTGCCAATGTAAACTGTCTGAAACATTTGGGGATCATCTTCCATTCTTTGGACTTGTTTGGTGGCTCTGCAACCTTGATCATACTTGCGAGTGCACCTGAAGTAACTCCTGTTCATGACAAAGGAAGGAGCACATGATTAATCAGCTTAAATTCAGTGCTTGTCTTGATTAAGAAATTAGTGTACTGATATTTCTTTCTGTTTGTCCTGGGACGTCCTGCTTATTTTCACATATTTCCACAACTGCTTTATTTACTGACTCCTGATTTTTCCACCACTTTGCCACCTTTTTCTTATCCAACAAGGTTCCTTTTCAGTACATTTGATTGCTTAGAAGAGAAGATATATGAATAATCATAACAAATTTAGAAAATCACCTATACTTGAAGAATCATTTTCATACAATGGATTCCATCTGTTTTTAATTTGATTGCCAAATGAGCAAAGACGTGTGATGTGACTATACCTTGGGTGCTTAGAATTGAGGATCTCCTTTTGTCCGTACTTCCTCCAGGCCTGGCCATCTTCCATTGCGGCAGAAATCACTGTCCATGTATTCGCAGCCCTCCTGGAAAGCCAAAACATCCGATCAATTTTAGAATCTAGTACTATGGGAACATTTAATGGAGACATGTACAAACAAAAGAACCCTGTTGTTTCTTGGGTTGGAATTGGATAAAAGAATCTTTACTTTCTCTTGTAGCAGCCTCTCCTATCCTTGGAGTACGGTCTCTTCCTGCTCTCAGTAGAATCTTCAGACCTCCGGTCATCACAGCAGGGGGAATCATAGTTAGAATTAGTCGCCTTATTCCGTGAAACCTGAGCCGAGTCACAAGAACTCAGCACAGAAATCGTCTCATTGAAAGATCTCAAGATCTTCTGCACAAGTTCCTCA